TTCTTCATACTGTCGGATCTATATCCATATATTTGCTTACATATGTATGTGTGTGAGTATGTGTGTGTGTGTGTGTGTGTGTGTGCATGCACCAATCCATTATTAAAAATCATGCATCCTGTCTTCTCTCTTTCCTTCATCATCTTCTGTGGCTACGCCTTCTTCTGGTATGTTATCTACGAAACTTCGTGTGACTACGCTTCTTCTAGGATGCGCTCACGCAAGCAGGCATTTCCTTCCGCACATAACTTTGCGCTCTGTTTATTCAAGGTTCAGGACACCTATGCGTCCTGTTTATTTTAGCCGCTGGGTGTATTTCCTGTTTATGCTATCACCAGTTCCGATTTCCGCTCACACTGATGCAGCGGAAATAAGGCCAAAGGTCTTTCCTCAACCGATATTCAACACAGTTTGTTCAAACTCTTCCCAGAGATTTTAATTGTCCCTGATTGATTTTGATATCTCCAATTTGGAATTTGCATGTTGAGCTCTTCCTTTTACTGACAATCATACATTCTGCGTTCTGGCAATTGATGTTTAGTCCTTTCTTCACGCTTTTCTTCACTATCCTCCGTATGAATTCTTCGGTGTTCTTTCTGTGTCTGCCCTCAACAGTGGGTCGTCTGCATATCTTATGCTGTTAAGATTGTGGTTGCTAATAATAAATCCTGGTAGTATTTCTCATTCTCTTAGAATTGTCTCGCTGTATAGGTTGAATAAGTCCGGTGAGAAGACACAAACTTGTCTTACACTCCTTTCTTTTTTTTCTCTAAGACTTTGTTGTTGCTTACATGTTCAGTCCATGGTATTTTCAGCATCCTTCTGTAGAACCATATTTCTTTTGCTTTCACTCCCATTGCTTAGCTTTTAGAAGGCATCTTTCACTACCCCAATATACCTTTGCATTTAATTGTCAAATTCTATGTGAAAACATTTCCTAGATATTCAGATTTTTGCATCTTGTTTATCTTTCGGATCTTTAATTTGTAACTTGCATGTTGGGCTCTTTCTTTTGCTGGCAACCATTTATCTTTATACAATTGATGCTTAGTCCATTCTTCTTGCTTTCCTTTACTACCTTCTGTAGGAATTTCTGTAGTTTCCTTTCCATGTCTGCTATCAACATCTGTGTCATCTGCATATCTAATGTTGTTCAGATTGTGACTGCCAATAATGAATCATGTTAGGATTTCTAATTCTCTTAGAATTATCTCACTGTATAGGTTGAATAAGTCTGGTGAGAAGACACAACCTTGTCTTACACTCCTTTCTTTTTTTGCATATTTACTAAACTCATTTTCTATCCATATGCATGCAGTTTGCTCCCAGTATAGGTTCTGGATTATTCTAATATCCTCCCCACCCAAATATGTCATGGTTAACAAACAATTCCAACAGTTCTTTGTGATATATTTTATCAAACAGTTTCTATAAAAGACAGATACATTTGCTTCTAAATTTGAATTGCTCTTTCTGATATCATTCTGGATATAAATATTGCATTTCTTGTTCCAGTGTCTTTAACGAACCCATACTGTTCTTGTCCTATTTCAGGTCTGAAGCCATTTTGCCATGTTCCTTTTGCTGACAGCCATACATTATGTCTTCTTACAATTGATATTTAATCCATTCTTCTCTCTTTCTTTTACTACCTTCTCTACGAGACCCTGTAGTTTCTTTTCTCTGTCTGCTATCAAACTATACAGATGACACAAAATCGCCTCACTGCATAAGGTTTGGTTTTGTGTTTATTTTGTTTTACGACTTATTAACTTTATTAGGTTATTTAATGCCGACAAGTCATTTAGAATAGATTCATTTTTTTTTATCAACTCCTTCATGGGTCATTGAATGTCAAAATTAAATTTTCTTGGGAGAATTAGTAATTTCTTTTACAAAAAAAAAATACATTTTTTTTTAAAAAATGTATTGCTGGTGATATTTTTTACAACATATTACTGGTATCACACTTATTATAAAACCCAGGTTGTGTGTGTGTGTGTGTGTGTGTGTGTGCGTGCGTGCGTGTGTGTGTGTGTGTGTGTCTGTTCGTTTATATATTGGATCGGATTTCCTTCATTTTTCAACCGATTTCAACAAAACTTCACAGGACTACGTAAAATTACCTTGCGGTGGTTCTGACAGTGCCAAAAATTGGAAAAACACAATTGTTTTTGCACGAAATCAATTTGAAATCACGATTAAGAGGTATCACAGTCCCCAGAATGAAAGGGGGACAACTCATATCGAGTTATACTTATTATAAAACCCAGGTTGTTTGTGTGTGTGTGTGTGTGTGTGTGTTCGTTTATATATGGGATCGGATTTCCTACATTTTTCAACCGATTTCAACAAAACTTCACTTTTTTTTGGCAGGCAGTGTTTCTTATTGTCTTACTTTTTTTTTTTTATTTTTACATTCAGAATGCTTTAAAAATTCCATTTACAAGACAATTGTTTATAATAAAATTTTTTCAACCGGTAGACTCATAACGATTGAAAACAATGTTTTTGTTTGAGTTTGGGTTTGACCAATTTGTAAAAAAAAAAAAAAAAAAAAACTAATTAAGACATGCGTGTCCGTCAACCTTAAACAATAATCTTTGTCAATTTTATTTTTCAGTTTTTATGATGGTCGATACTTGATCTATCTCTTACTGTTACATCCCCGGGCAACGCCGGGCTCTACTGCTAGTTTTTACTATAAAAATCTATTTTTATACTTTCATAGTGTTTTGACCACAGTTTTTCTCTATTTCTGTTACTACTTTCTGTAGGTGTTTTTTGTTGTTTTCTTTCCATGTCTTCAATTAATATCAGTGGCATCTGCATATCTAATGTTGCTAACATTGTGGTTGCTAATAATAAATTCTCCTGGTAGGACATCTAATACAGAAGTATACCGACATCCTTATATGTATGTTGGTCTTGCTCCATTGTTAATGCACCTATTTTTTGCTCCTTAGAATATTACTTCGGGTTTATAAACTACTTTCCCGTTAACATTTTTTCTACGTGAACTTTGGGTTGCAAGCAAATCATTTAAGATCAATGTCCCGCTCTGAGAATTAGTAATAGTTTTTATATCCAGAAATTCCATATTCCTCATTATGTGTACTAGAAATTTCAACTCTTTTCGATGTTTTTTGTTTCCATTTTCTGTAAAACTTCCTTGTCACTCGCATGTTCGCTTCATGGTATCCTGCTGTAGCACCATATTTCTGTTACTCCAAGTTTATTCTTGATCTCTGAGGAAATTGTCTAGCATTCACTGCCATACAGGAGGACTGATATTAGGTAACACTTAAGCATACTTTACTTTCTTTCTAATGAGATTTTCCTGTTACTTAATACGTTGCTTAACTTTTGGAAAACATCTTTCGCTATCCTTTGATCTTGGCGTCGCCCTTCCTGTCCTCTGTTAAAATCCTTTCCAGATATTTAAATTGTTGTACTTGTTTGATTTTGCTATTTTCCATTTATAATTTTAATGTTGGGCTGTACCCATTATTAAAAACCATGCTTCCTGACTTCTTGCAATTGATGTTTAGTCCTTTCTTCTCGCTTTCTTTCATTATCTCTCTATCTGCTATCAACCGTATCATATGTATATGCATATCTCATGTTGATAAGATTGTGGCCGCTAATAATGAATCCTGGTAAGACTACTAATATGGAAGTTTATTGGCATATCCTTATATGTATGTTGGTCTTGCGCCATTGTTAATGCACCTATTCTTGCTCCTTAAAATATTACTTTGGGTTTATAATTTGTGTTTTCTGAACTACATTCTCGTTAACAATTTTTCTAAATGGAAAAAAAAAGCGTGTAAGCAAATCATTTAAGATCAATGTCCCGCTTTGAGAGTTAATAATAATTTTCATCCTCAGAGGAATATAACAGAATATTGACGAGTGACCTCGGGCTAAAATGTTGATGATTTTCACAAATCATTAGAGTGAAGATCTTGCAGTCTGACTTCTGCCATTGAAAGCAAGGAAATGGAGGCAAAGAATAAAAAAAATTGCGCGTTATAAAAAACCGAATTTAATTTGGGGGGGTTTTTTAGAGAGAGAATTTTTTGTGTGATTATGTGAGCGGCAAGAGGGTAAGAGGACGAAGGTAATAACAAGTAGTACGATCGAAAGGGATAAAGTAACAGATAGCGGGAGAAAGATAGATAGATAGATAGAGAGAAAGACAGAGGGAGAGGGAAAGAGAGAGATTGCGAGAAAAGATGAAAACAGAAAGAGAGATGATTGACAATTACGAATGAGGATCTATGTGTCTGTCTATCTAAATCTGTTCATATATATATATATATATATATATATATATATATATATATATTGATTGATTGATTGATTGATTGATTCATTCATATTTCACTCTCCATTATCTATCTATCTATCTATCTATCTGGCGTAATTGTATATAATTACAATTATATAAGATTACAGTTTTTTTTTAATTTTAAGATTTTAAAATTATATTATGCAATTAAAATAAGCAGGATTTATATACGTATGCAAAAAAAAGAAAATGAAAAATTCATATATTTTAGTGGGGGAATATTCATATTATATTTTGTTTTAAAAATTATATAATTAAAAAGAGATTACTTGATCTTATTAAAACATGAATACATACCCAATAGTAATATATTAAAAATAAACCGTAATTAGCATTATAAATAACAATTAAAACTTAACTAAAAATAAAATGAAAAATAAAAAGTATAAAGTAAAATTAAAACCGAAAGTAAAAAGTAGTACGATCGAAAGGGATAGAGTGACAGATAGCGGGACAGATAGATAGAGAGAGAAAGACAGAGGGAGAGGGAAAGAGAGAGAGAGACTGCGAGAAAAGAAGAAAACAGAAAGAGACATGATTGACAATTATGAATGAGGAAGTAATGTGTCTGTCTATCTAATTCTATTCATATATATATATATATATATATATATATATATATATATATATATATATATATATATATATGGTTCTTATTCTATCCTGGTTCTTATCTATCTATCTATCTATCTATCTATCTATCTATCTATCTATCTATCCCAGAACTACTTACTATCTATCCGTCTGAACCTATTCATATATATCTCAGTCAGTCTGTTCTTTCTCTCTCTATCTATGCCAGTATGTTCATATCTATCTATCTATCTATCTATCTATCTATCTATCTATCTATCTATCTATCTATCTGAACCTATTCATATGTATCAATGTCAGTCTGTTCCCCCTCTTTCTAACTGTCTATCTATCCATGACATTAAGTTCATATCTATCTATCTATCTATCTATCTATCTATCTATCTATCTATCTGAACCTATTCATATGTATCAATGTCAGTCTGTTCCCCCTCTTTCTATCTGTCTATCTATCCATGAAATTAAGTTCATATCTATCTATCTATCTATCTATCTATCTATCTATCTATCTATCTATCTGAACCTATTCATATGTATCTATGTCAGTTTGCCCCCACCTCACTCTATGACAGTATCTATCTATCTATCTATCTATCTATCTATTGTCTCGGATCTATCTAACTTGAATATTTAGATTATGAATTATCTTTTACGTTTCAGTAAATATAATTGAATCGATTTATTGTTAAAACTAATCGTCTATTTTCCCAATTTTTCACACAAATTTCCAAACTCCATGGCCATGATTTCTCGTGGCCTCCTTCCCGATGTTGGTAGCTTTCGATTTATTTTTACAGTCATTTCAACGAAAATATTTGAACTTAATTATTTTGGATTCTTTATTAAATTTTCTCGAGTGCCTAGGCCGGTAGACACAATACCCGCTGCTTAAAAACGAGCCGTCTGTTCAAACACGTGTATCTACTAAAAAGGTTGACACAGATGTGTTAATTTTCCAAGTCAACAACTGCCTGATCTAAAAAAATTTCATCTACAAGTTTTTATGCTTTTTTTAAAAATTTATTTCATTCCATCCAAGACAATAAAGCCACTAAAACGCAAAGGGTTACCGTTAATTATCAAGTGGTTAAGCATACTCTCATTCGACTCTGTTTATTAGTTTACCATCACTTAGATGGGTTTACCACAGCAGAAGATCTATAAAAAATGAATGCACAGATAGTAACACAAATAGGTCATTTAAACATCACTGGTCAGTGATATTCTGGCCTGCAACATATATGTAAATCCGTCCGTAGAGGAAGTCCAACAAGTGGTTTCAAAGACTGAAGATTCTACCCTATAATGTGGTCTAGGGGAAAATTTGCCCCGCATTGTCCGATTTTCGTCCATCAGCTCCCTGACTAAATATATTTATCTCTCTACAAAAAAGGGATTAATTTAGACGTTTCCATGAGGACCTTATTTCAAAATTGCGTCTACATATAGCTTTGCTTTTTTAAAATTAATATGATAACATTTTCTATATAACTCTGTTATATACCGTACCAATGAACATTAATGGATATGTCCCAATCCTCATAAATACATTGGACACTATTGTAAGTGGGGGTAATATGCTGTATAAGTAGTCCACCAACAGCAGTGGTTTACCTATTTCACGCCGCTGGCGAGTATTGTATTTTGTTGATGTTATAAAGATTACCATTTCATTTCCAAACTCCGTTTTGGCTATTCTTCATTCAGTAACCTTTTCTAGGTTACATTTTGGCCACGAGGATGAGATATTGACTCTGGGCAGAGTAAATCTAAAAAGAAGGGTATTATATGCTGTATCTATAAACACCCATGGCTATGTGCCAATCCTCATAAATATGTTGGACAGTATTGTAAGTGGGGGGGTAATATGCTGTATAAGTAGTCTGTCACTAGCAGTGGTTTACCTAGTTCACGCCGCTGGCGAGTATTATGTTTTGTTGATGTTATAAGGATTACCATTTCAATTCCAAACCCCGTTATGGTTATTCTTCATTCAGTAACCGTTTCTAGGTTACAACTTATATCGTGCAACTGCCTCAGCCAACCATCACCGATACAATACACACGTCCACATAGAAAAATATGTGTTCGTTTCCATTTTCTACAAGCGAACATTTTTAAAGATTTCTCTTTATTAATATACTGTCCATCTTCTTCACTGTGTTCATTATTCCTTCCGCTTCATCTTATTAATGTACTCCCTATTTACTCTTCATTACTCCAATGACTCAATATTCTTGATGCACATCTTACTTCATAACGAGCCTCTTTTTTAAGCTTATTCCATTCATCCTATTCCTCGTAATCACACTTCTATTTTTCACTATTTTGTACCAATCTATTTTCTACTTCTTTACGCATTTCTACCAATCTCCTTCTTGATTCTTTTCTCATTTCAACGAATCTCTTTAAATTTCTTTAGTCATTTCTACGAGTCTCTTTCTTACTTCTTTACTCATATCTACCAATCTCTTTCCTGATTCTTTATTCATTTCAACCAGTCTCTTCCCAAATTCTTTACTCAGTTCTACCAATCTCTTTCCAATTTCTTTACTCATTTCTACCAATCACTTTCCAATTTCATTAAACATTACCACCAATCTCTTTCTTATTTCTTTACTCAGTTCCACCAGTCTCTTTCCAATTTATTTACTGAGTTCTAACATTTTCTTTTCAATTTCATTACTCATTTCTACGAATCTCTTTCCAATTTTTTTTGAGTAATGAAATTGGAAAGAGATTGGATCTCATTCTTATTTCTTTACTCATTTCTACCAACCTCTTTCCAATTTCATTATTCATATCTACCAATATTTTTGATTATTTCGAATCATTTTGAAAAAAAACTAATGTCTTTCCAATTTCTTTACTCACGTTTTTCCAACGAGAATTTCTTATTTTCAATTTTCTACCAATTTCATTGATTCAAAATTTTTCCAATAAGATTTGAATTATTTACCTTTTCACATTTCATTACCAATCTCTCAAATATTCTTTAAACTCAGTTCTACCAATCTCTTTCCAATTTCTTTGCTTATTTCTACCAATCTCTTTCCAATTTCATTATTCATGTCTATAATTTCTAAATTATTTCATTTTATGACAATACAAATATTTGTTTTATTTCTTTTACTCATTTCTACAAACTTTCTTTTGACCAAATTGCACATTTCATTCTACAATCTCAAGATATAATTTCTTTGCTTAAAAAATCAATATTTTTAAATTTCTTTGAGATTTCAACGTTTTTCTTCCTGTGTTTTTTTTTATTTCAAAATCTCTTTCCAATTTCCATTGTTATTTCATCATCTCTTTCATTTCTTCCTTCCCAATCTCCTTTTGTTTCTTTTTCAAATGCGTTTAGCGAAAAAACAAAAAAATAAAAAAAATTTTTTCACAGTTTTTCTTTCTTTTTTTTCTATTCCTTTTTTCTTTCTTTCTTAATTCTTATTCAAAAATGACAAAAAAAATTTGGATCTTGACAATTTCTTTCAGAAAAAACTGAATAGAACTTTTTTTCTTCTTCTAAAATACATATATTTCCAGGTTTCTTTTTCTTTATCCCTTTAAATTTCCAGAATTTTTTAATGATCCTCCTTGAATGATTAATTTATTTTGATTTTTCCTGAAAGTATTTGGCGTAATTTATCCTAAAGAAAATATAAATGTGTTCTATACAAAGAAACATAAACTTTTTTCTGTTTGAATTTTTTCAAAAAAGAAAAGTTTAAAAAAGATTTATCTTTATATTCCCTTGAAGAAAGAAAGAAAGAAAGAGAAGAAAGAAAGTTTGAACGAGAAATTATATTTAGAAAGAAAGAAAAAAAATGAGTTTGAATGTTTAAAAAAGAAAAAAAGAAAGAAACAAAAGATGCATATATTTATGGTTTATATTTAGAAAGAAAGAAAAAAAAGAAAAAAATAAAAGAAAAAGAAGAAGAAAAGAAAGAAAGAAAGAAAGAAAGAAAAATTCAAATGAAAGAAAAGAAAGATTGAAAAATTGTTTATATTTAAAAATAATTTTGGAAATAATTTACAAACAAAGAAAAAAGAATGAAAGAAATTTTCTTTGAAATACATATATTTACAAAAAAAAATGAAAGTGTTTGATAATGAAATAATTTTTAAAGAATTTTGAAAGAAAGAAAAAGAAAGAAAAAAAAGAGAAAATATTTAGGGGGGAGAATTTGATGAAGGAAAGAAAGAATGAAAGAAAGATTCATGATTTAGAATTTTCAAATATCAAAGAAAGAAAGAAAAAGAAAGAAAACCCTGGAAAAAATTAAAAAAGAAGGAAAAATGGCGGTAAAAGAAAGAAAGGAAAAGAAAAGGAAAAGAAAAACGAAATATGAATAATTTACAACAATGAAAAAAAGATTGTTAAAGAAAAATTATAGGTTTATATATAAATAAATAAAGAAAAGAAAAATAAAATAAGGAAAGAAAGAAAATGTTTGAAGTATGAAATATTTAAAAAGAAAGAGAAAAAAAAAAAAGAAAAGATGAGATTTTTTTTTTATATTTAAAAAGAAGGAAAATAGAAAAAGAAAGAAAGAAGAAAGAAATAAAAGAAAAGGAATAAATAATTTAGAAAGAAAAGAAAGAAAAGAAAAAAGAAAAAAAAATGAATTTTCAAAAATTAAAATAATGGAAAAAAGAAGAGACTGGAAAGAATTTTAAAAAAGAATAGAACGTAAACACGAAAAAGGGAAAAATCAATAGAATATAAAAAAGATGGGGAGAGAAAGGGAAAGAGAATTTTAAAGAAAAATGATTTTCATTATTTAAAATTTTTGATTAGAAAGTGGAGAAAGAAAGTTTATTATCATCTTAATATTGAAATTGACAGGAAAAAAAATAGATGATCAAAGTATGAAAATGACAAAGAAAGAAAGAGAATAAAGAAAGGCAGAAGAGAGAAAGAAAACAAGAAAACATGAAAGAATAGAAGGAAGCTTTTGACGAGTGATTATTCTTCTGTCCGAATATGAAAAAGAAAAAAAGTGACAAATGGAAAGTGATGAATTTGAATTATTATGGAGAAACTATTAAATGTTTGAATATATGAAACTGTGATAAAAAAAGACAAATATTTAAAGAACAATGTAAAAGTAAAATTTTTTTTGGCGGTATCAGAAATTTGATACGTCTGAATTATGATGAAAAGTGAAAATGAGGAGAAAAAGATTCATTCAATTTTTTTATGAAGAATGAATAAATCTTCATGCTTATTTATTTTTGATTTTCTGTCCGGTTTTTGAAAAAAAACAATGAAAAATTTTAAAACTTCTATGATTTTAAACATGTTAAAGTAGGCTGATTTGAATGTTTCGGAATTCCAGACAAAATAGGAATTACAGATTGATATTACAAGATTAGCATTTATTTTAAATGAAAACAGAAGAATAGGTCATTTTTTAAAATCGAATATTCAAAAAGAAAAATTGACCAAATGTTTTTTTTTTTATTCAAGACAATGTTCTAATTTTGTCAAATCCACCTATTCCATTCTCCACCGTAGATAAGTTCTCAAAACGTTTTTGAAGGGGAAAAAATGAAAGATGATCATTTAATTACTATTACAGGCCGAAAATGGATTAGATTTCATTTTTTGATCATCATCCCAGCCTATCC